GCAAAGTGCCGTTGCCCCCTCCCATGCCCAGGATAAGCGATTCCATCCTGTGGCCTGTCGTTCTTCCCCCTTTTCTGTGTACTCACGCCTGTGTGCGTTTATTCTAGGGGAAGTGGAGGTGGGCCACAGCCACCTCCATGTGCAGCTGGCAGTCTAGGATGTGTGTTGGGTCCTCTCTATAGATTCTCTTAGCTATGGCAGGTGTTCCCGCTGTGCCCAGGGGCCAGCATCCCTGTGTGCAAGCGTGCCTGTTTGTTTTCCCTCCTCCCCTTGTGGGGGCAGAGTTAGGGCATGAGTGTGGCAGCCACAGTTTTTTTTGTAAGCATTTTTGCCTCGCTGGTGACTAGCAGCTGATTTAAAGTTGCTTTGGACTGAGAGGCCTGGCAAACTAGTTGGAATAACTTAAGTTATGAGGTACCATGCTACAAGTTTTTCATGGGAGGCAGGGTCCCAGTAAACCCAGGGAGGGGAAGGCAGACAGAGATAAAGGACATGAGGTAAGACCATGGAGGAAGCAGAAGAGGTGTCCCAACATCTTAGGTAAGGGAGGGGAAGGCAGAGCCTGGAGGCATAACACAGGCCTGAGGGATTAGCCATCACCTGTGCCTCTAGGTTGCTCCCATTGACTGGTAGTGGAACACTTTCAGCAACATGAACCCTCCACTCGCCAGTCATTGTTTCAGGCAGAAGGGGCATTAGACAGGGGAAAAGAGAAGCAGTCATCAGATGCCATAATCAATCAGGACTCCCCCAACATAGCATGAGGCATACCTGAATAAAACCCAGGCTTGGTCTCTGCCCACAGGGAGGGAGCGTGGGCTCCTCCAGAGATGGAATCGCCTTGAGGCCAGAGTTGGCAAGGAGCGGCTAGCTTGACATCATGGTGGGAAAGTCCCTCAGGCAGATAGGAAGAGACAGGCAGGGCAAGCAGCACAAGAAGTCTGCTTACATGGGGAAGGAAGAGGTTTGGGAGAGAATTTGGTTGGTTTAGAAGTAGGTTTAGAGGCTAATAGAACCTGCGCAGGGGAACAGGAAACACAGAGGGAGGGTTTGGTGTGGAGATAGGAAAAGGATTGGGTGTAGGGTATTTCCTTCCATTTACCAACACGCTCACAGAAATTATATAAATCCCTTAAAATATTGGGATCAAAAGTGCCATTAGGTGGCCATTTGGAGACATTGCCTAATGGGCATTGAAACCAGGCCTGATTACAGAGAAAAATGAGCTTTCAGGGCTTAAGATCAGGCATTAGGCAAAGGGGCCCAAGGTTGGCCAGGAGACACCCCAATGGGGAGTCTGAAGGAATTTGGGATGGTCCAACTCCCATGGTGAGGTGTGAACTGAGGAGAGAATATGATGGGCATCCCCGAGATATCGGTTCCTCAGGAGAGAGTAGAGGTGGAACACACGGGAGGGATGTCTCCATCACTGGGAGCCCACAGTCCTAGGGGACCCAGTCCCCATGGATGAGAGCAAGCCAAGACCTAGCACTAGGATTTCAAGGAAACAAGAAAGAGATCACATCTCTGCATGAGAGGAGGACTCACCAAGAGAGGACCTTGAGGGAGGATTGACTGGTGGTGGATGGTGATTGGAGGAGTGCTGGGGTGGAAGAAATTCCCTGTGAGCAGTGAGGGCATCATCTAGGATCAGAGGTCCTGGCAAGGCAGCTCTAATCCCAGAGGAATGGAATGGGAGTTTAAAGAGGGAGAGAGAGAGAGGGTGGGATCGGGGAGGGAGTCCGGGAGAGCAAGATCAATGCCAAGAGCTCACCTAATCTGAGTCATGGCACCAAAATGTTAGGAGAAACGCAGCTCACAAAGAAAGCTCATGAGAAAAGTCTCACGTCCAAGAGCAAGGTTTAATGGCAGGCTCAAACTGCCAGGTTGGCTGGGGAAAGATGGTGCAGCACAGACTCTGGGCTAGGCATGGCTTTTCTAGAAGAGGATGGTTAAGCAAGTTAGCGCATGTGAGGGAGTCTCTGGTAGGGGTGGAGCTTGTCTTAGAGCACAGGAATTTTTGTTTAAGGGTGGAGCTGCCTGGCAGAGGGCTCCATTTCTCAAGTGAGGCCTGAGGATAAAATGGCCACCAATTCACAAAATGGCGACATTATTGTTCTATCACAGATTACATTCTCCAACAGGCTAAATGGCTCTGGGAGCAATCTCTTGAAACTCAGGTTTCTATACAGGTATGGCACCAAATAAAATCCTGGCTCCCCTCCAGGACTTAGTTCCTACCCTTTCTGGAGCCTATAGTTGCCATTATTCTCTTGCTTATGTTTGGGCCTTGCATTTTAAACTTATTTGTCAAGTTTGTTTCTTCTCACCTAGAATCCACCTACTACTGTGGTCCCCTTGACAACCCCTCTTGTGGTCAGCCCTGATGCTGCGGGTCCCTTCATCACCCACTGTCAGCAGGAAGCAGTTACTGAATAGACTTCATCATCCCTATTCCTAATAGCAGTTAGGGAGGTCACTGAGAGGGGGGACTTGAAGGACAGACAGCAGGAGGTCAAGGAGACATTTCTCCTCCCTAGGAAACTCCTGTTTGCATCTGAAAGGCATCTCAGCCCTCAGCAGTGCAAAAAAGGCTATACAATCCACTCCCTAACCTGACCCACAGGATCACCAGTTTCCTGGTCCTCCTGCGTTCCCCAATATGCAGTCTTTCTCTTCTCATCTCTACAAATAAATTCTCTACAAATAAAATCTTTCTGACCTCTGCTGTTAGTGTCTGTCTGTGCTTTCATTCTCAGAGCAGGCTCAAGAACCCTGAGCACCTGAAATTCATGTGCATGTCATCTGTGCATCAGTGAAACTAGCCAGGTTCAGAAAGCCAAAGGCTGCATGTTTTCTCTCATATGTGGAATTAGGCCCAACACAAATACAAGCAATATTATATATAAATAGAAATATATACAGAATACGTACCCAAAAGTAGGACTGGTAGAGGAGACCAAGAGAGGAAGAAAAGAAGGAAAAAAAAGATATCAAATAATAATGAAGTAGATCACATTTGTGTAGGAACAAGACACAAGGAAACACGCTGAAAACTGGTCAACACAGGATGGGGGAAAAGGGCAAGGAAGGGCAGTGGAGGGAGGTTACACTAATTTAAGCACAATGCATGTATAGGTATAATACCAAGGCAAAAATTCCACAGAACAACAAAGAGACACCTAAACAATGAAGCACAAGAATGAAAATCAGGTTATACTAAGGGGAGGGCACAATTAGGAGGGGGAGGGTAAAAGAAAGAAGAAAAGAAGGTGAATATGATTGATACACTTTCAATACATGAATGAATATAGAATTTTTAAACCTGTTGAAAACACCTAAGAAGGGACTAAGGTAGAAAGAAGAAAAATGGAGGGATGAACCAATTTGGGATATAATACATATATACATGGAAATGTCATAATGAAACACCATGTATAGCTATCTTAAAAAAAAACAAAAATGTCTCTTCAAAAATGAAGGACAGGAAGGTAAAACAGGTCCTGTCTGGGGGTTGGTACAAGTGGGAGGGAAAGATATAAGGAAAGGGTGAAGGAGGCTGTATACGGTGGAAGTATATGTATTCATGCATGAAAATGGAAAAATGAGTCCTGTTGAAACTGTTCTAAGAAGGAGGGAGGGGATATAAGGGGAAAATGAGGGTGGGTGAATTTGACTAAGATAAATTGTAAGCACTTTTGTAAATGTCACAATGTACCCCCAGTACAACAATAATATAATAAAAATTAAATAAAAAAGAAATCAGACTGTGCCACAGGGGCCTGGATCATGGGTTACCAAAGCAGATAAACCAGGAAGAACTGCAATCACGCATGGAGGGCTATATGTTTGCAGTAGTGATAAAGGGGTCACAGCCACTGCCAGAGATTCTCCCTAAAAAAGAGCCAGAGGGGAAGAAATGCCTTGGTTTCTCTGCAACTCCTCCACTCTAATATTCCCTCAAAACCTTTAATTGGACAAACCTCCCCAACTTCCATAAAGTAAGAGAGCCTGGTAGATATAATTCTCTACAATACAGAACAGAGCAGAAAAAGAGTAGTAATGGATCTTGAGAATAAATAAGCACAGGCTGGGCAAACAAAAATAGAGGTCTGTTCAAAGTAGTATGGCCTTTCCCTTTTAATCTCCATTCTTTTTACATTCACAGTGTACAGATTCTGACTCTGGATAGGAAGAGTTTTTTATTTTATTTTATTTTATCATTTTTACATTTATTTATATGTATATACATTATTTGGGCCAACCCCCATTACCCCACCCCCTGCTTCCAGGCAGAACCTGTTCCCCCCTCTTGTTCTCCAATTTTGTTGGAGAGAAAACATAACAAATAAGAAAAACATAGTGTTTTGCTAGTTTGAGATAAAAATAGCTATACAGAGAGATTCCTAGCTGCTTCCATGCATATGTGTATTATAACCCACATTGGTTCATCTCTACCAAGACATTTTTTTTTAACTGTTATCTCTCTACTCCTCCCATGAAACAGAATGTACAGGGAACATTGATTCCATTTAGTTGATTTTTGCCAAAAACTTATAAGTCAGTTTTCAATCAAGAATTTTTTTAGAACAGGTATGTTTACTCACACCTGCAATTCCAGCTACTCAGGAAGCAGAGACTGGGAAGATCAAGGCCAGTCCAGAAAAAAAGTTATCAGGACCCCATCTCAACCAAAAAGTGGATCATGGTGGTATGCACCTGTGATCCCAACTATGCAGGAGATGTAGGTGGGAAGAAAGTGGTTTGAGGCCAGCCCTGGGCAGAAAACATGAGACCCTATCTGAAGACTAGATGTAAAGGAAAATAAGGGCTGGAGGTATGACTCAAGTGATAGAATGTCTGGCTAGCAAACTCAAGACCCTGCATTCAAATCCCAAATTTTTGTTTTGTTTTGTAGCAAAGGGTAAAACTCAGACATTATGATTCTTAATGGCTTCACATAACGGTATTAAATGTGAATTTTAAAAATCCTCACTTACCTTTGTTGGTAACAATTGCTCTGAAACAATACTGGCTTCATTTGGTCTAGGTTTCTTCTCTATTATAACTTCTCTATTGGATTTCTCCAAAGTTTCTAAGCAATAGAGAAAAAAACAAACATAGAAACATATATTTAAAAAGAACAAACCATACTAGATACGGTTAATATTCTCAGGTTAAAATTAGTTATGTAGAAAATCTCCATGCACAGTAGATACATACTCACAAACATACACACATTTCAATATGTAAGGAAGTGAGTCACTGTATGCTACCACTGCAACGACAGGATCAAGGTACATAATCTTTTTCATATACAATGTGATGAAATCTATATACTATCTATATTGATATTTGAGTCATATGCACATATAAGCTACAAAATAAAACTCATCATTAGTTCATGTTCATATTGACAATGTAGGATAAATTAAAACTAGAAAACACACATTAATTTTCTTGTTCATTTAAAAATTAAAATGTAGCCAAGCATAGTGGTACACATCTATAATTACAGCATTGGAGTAGATGAGGAAGAGAGTTCAAGGCTAGTCTGGGCTACAAAGGGAGACCTTGTATAAAAACAAAGAAAAGTTAAACTCTAAAAATCATTTAAAAACTGGTGGTGTTTCTCTGCATATTAAAACTTCCTTTCTTGAAACAAAGAACAATACATAAATAAACATCATCATATCAGGAAAAAAAAAACTCTCAATAACCAGATCATTGGTTAATTTGAAAAACGTGTACTCTGGGAAAGACACTAGATCCTAAAATGGAAATATTTCCTCAATTTTGTTTTTTATAATTAAAGAACTGTTTCTCATGGAAGAAAATAGACCTATAAAAGTGTAATGAATAAATACTCCCAAAAGAATCCTTTCTGCTTATCTGTTAAGGCTACATTAATCATAGCTTGATTGATTCAATATGAATAATTCAGAATTTACATTTTTGTTGTTTAGACTTAGTATAGGATGATAAATTATGTACATGCTATGATCTAAAATTTCTTTTCTTTTTTCTAATTTAGCAGGAATTTTAAGAATCAGTTTCTTCTTATTCCCTGAGCAAAGCAAATTTTAAATTTTTGCTGATTTTATAAGTAGGGAGCGTGACCAATAGAATCATCAAGAAGATGGTTGCTTTTCTGTGTAAATATAGTTCTATGAACCTAGTTGTGAATGATTTCTAAGGAATATGGTTTACAAAAATAAAAATATTTTATTCTAATGTTAAAGTTAGTATCAACACTTGTATGGGTAAAGTGTACCATAGGTAAACATTCCATTTGGCAAATAATGACAGCACTACCTTGGTTTGGATAAATGTCCCTCAACACCTCATATATTAAAGGCTTGGTCTTCACCCTGTGGAGCTGTTGGAAGGTGATAGAACCTTTATGAGATGGGGTTTAGTGGGAGAAATTTAGGTCTCTAGGGCATGCCCTTGAGGGAGATACTCCAACCATAGCTCCTTCCCCTCTCTCTCTCTCTCTGCTTCCTGGTTGCCATGAGATGAGTAGCCTCCCCTACCATGCACTCCCTACCATGATGCACTGTGCCACACAGGGGCCAGGGATCATGGATTGCACCTTTAAAGCTATAAGCCAAAATAAACCTTTCCTGTATTTTGTTCCAGTGATGCAAAGCTGACTAACACAACTTCTCTTTGGGGAAATTTGATCAGAGTTTATTTCCATGATAAGTTTTCTTAAATTCCATACTTTGTAATTATTTTTGGATTTGTGAACACTTCCTAGACTTTGTTTAGAGTGACTAAACACTATACAAAATACATAATATGGCTGGCTGGCAGGCAATGCATATGCTCACACACCACACACATATGCACATAAACAATTTTGGGTGCTTTCAGCAACTCTTGGAAACCTCACTCATGAACTTGAGGCCCATGGACTTCAATTTAAGGATTCTGTTCTATTTTCCAAGACACATCACAACACAGAAGTGTTTACATTCAGACAACGTTAAAACATTTAACCTAAAATGCTTTTCTATAGTTTGTACTTCATAAAGTCTTTTTTTAAAAGAAGATGGGTTTATAAATAAGAATTAATTCTAAAATTGAACTAAAATAGAGCTTCATTACATATTTTTATTTTCACTTATTTATTTGTTTATTTTTTTGGTGGGACTGTCGTTTGAACTAGGAATCACATATTTTTAAATAAATAAATAAAATGAAGCCAGGCACTCATGCTTGTCATCCTAGCTACTTTGGAAGTTGAGATCAGGAGGCTAGCCTGGGCAAATACTTTGTGAAATTCTATTTCCAAAATATCCAGAGCAGAATACGCTGGAGGTGTGGTTCAAGCAGTAGAGCACCTGCTTTGCAAGCTCTTGAACCTGAGTTCAAACCTTTATCACACCAGAAAGAAAGAAAGAAGGAAGGAAGGAAGGAAGGAAGGAAGGAAAGAAAGGAAAAAAAGAAAGAAAGAAAGAAAAAAACTATACATCTATCAAAATAAATATGGGATTTTTTGGGGGAGAGCCATATGGAGAAGGCTTTGCAGGACACTAACAACAGAAGCCATAAAATAATTCTGCACAACAAAAATGCCATTAACATTCAGAATAGATAAAACAAACTGACATGGCAATCTTCTCAAAATATTCATTTAAAAATTGTTAGATTAATTTTTGGAGACGTTTTAGATTTACAGAAAAGTTGATCAGATAATACACTCTTCTTGCCCTCAGTTTCTTCTACTGTTAACGTCTTGCAATGATAAATATTTGCTTCAACTGACAAGCCAATATTGAAATATTATTAACTAAATTTCACAGTTTAGACTAACATTTACTCTTTGTGTGGTATGATTTATGGGTTTTGACAAATACATGATGTCATATACCCACCACTGCTGAATCACATGGAATAGTTTCACTGTTCTAAAACTCCCTCTACACCACCTAGGTATCACTCCTTCCTTTCTCTCCACTCCTGACAAGTAGATCTTTGACTGTCTCTATAGTTTTATCTTTTCCATAATATTTCTCATATTGGTGGAATCATACAGTATATAGCCTTTTCAGATTGGTTTCTTTGACTTAGCCATATACATTTAAGGTTCCTCCATGTCTTTTCATGACTTGATAATCTTCTTTCTTTTTATTGCTGGATAATAGTCCATTGTATTGATATACCACAGTTTGTTTATCCACTCAATTACAGAAAAACATCTTAGCTGCTTCCAAGTTTTGGCAATTATGAATAAAGCTGCTCTAAACATTCATATGCAGGTTTTTGTATGGACGTAAGCTTTCAATACATTTGGATAAAACACCTAAGATCGCAATTGCTAGATCATGTGGTAAGACTATGTTTAGCTCTGTAAGATACTGCTAACCTGTATTCAAAAAAGTCTGCACTATTCTGAATTCCTAACAGCAATTAAAGAGAGTTCCTTTTGCTCTACATCCTTGCTATAATTTGGTGGTGTTAGCATTTTGGATTTTATCCATTCTAATAGGTGTATAGAATCTTACTTCAATTTGCATTTCCTAATGACGTATGATCTTGGACATCTTTTCATATGCTTATTTGCCATCTGTATATCTTCTGTGGTGAGGTATCTGTTCAGTTATTTTACATACTTTTAAATCAGGTTGTTTTCTTGTTGCATTTTAAGAGTTCTTTGTATATTTTGGATACAAGTACTTGATCATATGTATGTTTCGCAAGTCTTTTTTTTTTTTATTATTATCTGTGGCTTTTCATCTTCTTTGTGACCATACCTTTTTACATGAAGATTACATTTCAGAAATTTACTCTCAAGATATACTTGCACACATGTAAATCAGTTCAAGGGAATTTGCCATATCATTGTAGTAGCAAATGAAGAAAATATTTGAAATGTCCATCAATGAATAGTTCATTAAGTTATAATATATGCACCAATGGAAACATTGAGCTGTTAGAAAAATCTTTTTTCTGCACTTTCTAGATTGTTCATAAAAGAACATCTGCATTGTATGATGACATTTTGTGTTATTTTAATACAGGAATATAAATGGAAGTAGTTGCTTCTGGAAAGTATGCAAATGATGTGGAAAAGTCATAATTTTATCATATTTTCTTTTGTGCTATTCAAAAGTTTTATAATCTGTATGTATTCAAAAACAATTTTTAAAAAAGAAATATTATAAATCTCAAGTTGTTAATGACATGAAGAGGTAAAGTTTGAACTTTTTTCTGATGGCACTGGGGTTTGAACTCAGGGCCTTGCACTTGCTAGGTAGGTGCTCTATCATTTGAGCCACGTTCCCAGACCTAAGACCTGGATTCTTAATGTCACTTTACTTTTCTACAGATAACTCAGAAAACTAGCTAATTTTGAAGATATTTACCATGAAAGAATTACACTAGCTTGAAGTAAAGTCTTTGCAAATCTGTTTCTGTCACCATTGTGTAGCTTTAGTTTAAATCTCAGGAAAAAAGTTAATTATCTTTTATTTATCATTTCGCTCCCAAATACATTATGTTTATTCACTAAATGTAATGTGCTCAGATGTTTATATAAGCCATCTGCCTATTTTCAAGATGAGTAAGAAAAAGATAAGCTTTCCAAGATTTTTCTTGCTGGTGCCTAATTGTAGAGTAAGTGAGAAAGTCATCAAGTAATTATGATAACCTTTAAAATATGATTCCCAAAAAAATTTAAAATATTTTAAATGCTTATTCTTCTCCAAAAAAAACAAAAAGGAGCACTTTCAGGTAGGATTAGTAACTCTGGATCCACACTGCTAAGATATTTTTGTGGCTTTATTTCAGTGTGGCATTTTTATTTTTCTTAGGAATTCAAAATGGTCAATTTCAAATTTGGCAATGTAAAATTTTATGAGCCCTTTGAACATTTAGGGAATTACTATACATATTTTAAGATATATTGAAATTGAAATTTCTATACACTTATTATTGTCCATTTTTGGCTCACCACTCCAAAACATAGCTATCTGCATATGCGTAACAATGGCTTCTCAAAGAGCACGGCTGGATTAAGAACCTCAGAAGGATGCAGAGGGTCACAAGAACGTAGCTGCTCAACAGTTTCCCCTACAGAGTTCTCTGTAGTTCATTTTACACTTCTGGTTAGTTTCCACACTGCTGCTTTCTTTCCTAGGGAGTGGAGGTTGGCAGTACTTTGCTGTGACATCCACTTTCACACCCAAATTGGTCTTCATAGGTTCCCATTGTGTGCACTTCAAAGCAACTTGCCTTGTTGGCAGCTCTAAGTGGGAACTACATGTCTTTCTTTTCTTCACTGTTCTTTTCTGGCTCACAAGCAACCTCCCACCAAAAGCTGAATCTGTAGAAGAGACTACATCCAAGAGATAATACCATGAAAAAGTATGAAGAGAAACCCAGGTGGCCACCTTGCAAATTTCCAATGTGGAAGCCTTCGACCTCTCTGCCCAAGAAACAGCTAAAGTCCTAGAGTAATGAGCTTTACAAACCCTAGGAGCCTCTTTACCTTAACTACATACGCCTCCCTAATACAATCCTTTAACCATCTAGCTAAGGAACTCTTAGAAGCCATTTGACCCCTCTTAAGACCCCCTAAGAGTACAAACAATCTTTCAGAAGATCTGAAATCTTTGATTCTTCTGAGACAAACCCTAAGTGTTCTTCTTACATCCAATTGAAGCAGCCATTGCGCTTTGTCATTGCTGGGGCTAAAGAAAAAGAAGGGCCAAGAATCCCGGTTTAGATAAATCTCAGATGCCACCTTTGGAAAAATTGAGGAACTGCCCGAAGAACAACTTTATTCTAACGGAGCATTAGAAATGCCCCACAAATCAAACCCATAAAATACCATAAAACTCCATAAAATATCATAAAAACAAATATAGCAAGGCATCATGACAAGTAACGTCCTATTATTTTCTGAAATGATCAAAGTAGAAAACCATCGAATCGCTACCAAACAAAAGCCAAGAAATACAACTACTAAATACCTTTTTCTCTCTCAGAAAATACGTCTTTTATTTCTACAAAACCTCTTGCTCACATCCAAATTACTATGAGAACTGCCAATTTGACTAAGTTTACAATATGACAGTAAATATCAAAATAGAAAGTAAAATATCTGGTTAATTATCTTTATATTTTCTCTATGTGATGTGAAGCCCCTGAATATTTTTAAAACATTTGGATAATGAAAAAAAGAAACTTTACATTTACCAGATTGTTGGTTACATGACATAGTAGGCAACTTTTTCCAAGTTAACAAAATATGCTCCATTCAAAACAAATAACACAGGAAACCAAAAGATTTACTCTCTTTTTTTTCTCATTCTTTCCCATATTTTTTAAGCAAAACATTAATGATCAGTAATATTCCATAGTTAGCTTAAGATACATTTGGTTTCTTTAATCATCATTTCAAGGAACCTTTTCTTCCACATTTAAGAAGATAAAGATGATGATAAGAATTGATTAACTTGGATACACTGAATAAAACATTTAAGATTTTTCTTGACAATTTCCCTCAAGATCATTCTTCTCAGAGATCCATTTACATAAAGTTGTGTCAGATGAAATGACTCTTGGCTTTCTTATAAAAAAAATGAACTTCAACCACAAAGAATACATATATCACAGGGGGGATGTTCTAATACACAAACATTTCTTATACCTGCTGGTCAAAATTCCTTCTACATACTGTGTTTGATAATCCGCAAATGTGTTTGCATTGTGCACTATTATTAATGTGATACTGAAGTTGCTTTTATTTGCCATGTAGCTTTTATGATGACAAACTGGGGATAAGACAGTATATTGTGGCATAATTATATATTTGCTTTGTTGATTTTATGCAAGAATGGTAACTATTACTCTCAAATATCCATCATATACAATTCTCTGCATTGCTTGATCTTAATCTAATGGAGTTGAACGAACTTTTCCTTTTTTTCTCCTCTTTCCTGAAATCAACATATTAATCCTTGGCCATTTCAATTTTATATCTTTAGCTCTCTAATGCAACTGTAATTTTGAATTTATGCTGCCCATAAGAAGAACAAAGTTCTCAGAATTGATACAAATTCTCAATGGCCTGGTCTAGTACCAAAACAAGATGATTCCAAATGGGTGTGTGTAGGGGGGGAGGGGAGTCTGGATATTTGTGAATTCATTCTGTTTCTTGATCTGCAGAAAAGATCTTCTAAAAAGGTGGATGAGTGACATATAATGTTAGCCAGGCAAGATGGATGAGTGCCAACATCAAATGTCAACTGTTTTAAGCACCAATATGTCATCAATAATTAGTATGTCACATTGCCCTATTCAGGGCTCTATGACTACCCATCAGCTCCATCTAGGAAACCTATTAGAATTCAAATTATCTCCTAATTAAATCTGCTTTTTCATTCTGCCTTTTAACTAATATTCATACTTTCTGTCCTATTTTTTTTTGTCAGCTTCAGAAATCTATAATCCGCCTCCATTTTTTTCCTTCAAATTAGTTCCAAATTTAGAAAATGTATTGCTATGGTTTGGGTATGGCCCACAAGGGCTCATGTATTAGAAGCTTGGTCCTCAGTATGGTAACACACAGCTGGTGGGACATGTTAAGAGCCAGAGCCTAGTAGGATGTCATTGGGGGCATGACCCTCAGGAGAGCCCTGGCCAGAGCCAGCACCATACATTTTGGACTTTCTCCTCTAAAACTGTGAGCCAAATAAGCCCCTTTCCTTTACAAATTACACACACTCAAGCATTTTGTTACATTAACAGAAAATGGACTAACACAGAGATCTACTAAATTTACTTTATAATAGTGCTACATAAACCTAATCTGAAACATAGAAAGCCAATGAACTATGCTTAGTATAAAACAAACTCCAATCCTATAACTTTTCTAACATTACTTATGCCGGGTAAAGTAAATAAAGCAATATAGAACTAAATATATTGAGAGAACTAATAAAATTTTTAATAAGAAACTGGGCTTGAGGGTTTCAATTCCCAATTTTCAAATTATTTGTTAACCCCATTGCCTCTCTCACTTTGTTTTGCAGATATAGTCATTCTTCTTAGAAGGATATGTGGCACCATATAAAAGAGAACTTTGTACATTCCATTTAGATAAAAATGAAAGTCATTGTTAAATTTGAGCATGATGACAGAGAACAACCTTAACCACTAAACCTTTGAATTCTACTTTTAATATTAGAAACATTATTTCAGCTCACATGGCCAGGTTTTCTGCAAAGGAATTTTGTGAAGACTAAACTTAGAACAACATATTATATAATTATAATTACTATTTTTAAAAACTCACATACCTTAGAAAGGGATGGAACACTGCTAAACTCATTCTATGAAGCCAGTATTACACTCATTCCAAAACCAGACAAGGACACAACAAAAAAAGAGAATTACAATCTCTTTAATGACCTTCAATGCAAAAATCCTTAATAAAATATTGGCAAACTGAATTCAACAGCTTATCAAAAACATCATATACCGTGATCAAGTTGATTTCATTCCAGGGATGCAGGGATGGTTCGACATACACAAATCATTAAATGTAAAACAGCACATTAATAGAAGCAAAGACAAAAACCACTTGATCAATACAATAGATGCTGAAAAAGCCTTAGACAAAATTCAACATTCTTTCATCATAAAAGCTCTGATGAAACAAGGAATAGAAGGAATGTACCTCAACATAATAAAAGCTATATATAATTTGTGTATAGTCAACATCATACTAAATGAGAAAAAATTAAACCATTTCCTCTAAAGTCAGGAATAAGACAATGGGATCCACGTTCTCCATTCTTATTCAGCAGTCTTGGAATTCCTAGGCAGAGCAATAAGACAGGAAGAAGAAATGAAAGGAATACAAATTGGAAAGGAAGTAGTCAAATTATCCCTATTGTCAGATGATATGATCATATAACTAAAAGATAACTAAAAGATCCAAAAAACTCCACCAAAAACTCCTAGACACTGTAAACAGTTTCAGCAAAGGGGCAGTATACAAAATCAATTAACAAAAATCAGCAATCTTTCTATATACCAATAATGAACAGACTGAGAAAGAATACAGGCAAATAATAATAGCCTCCCCAAAAAACCAAGTACCTAGGAATAAACTCAACAAAGGATGTGAAAGACCTCTACAAGGGAAACTGTAAACCATTGAAGAAAGAAATTGAAGAAGACTACAGAAAAAAAAAAAACCCTCACATTTCTTGATTGTTTATGATATGCTACACATTTCTTTAAGTACCTTATATACACTAAATCATTCAATTCTCATAATTCTATATAACATATTTTAGAATCTAAGATTCTAATTCCAAAAGAAAACAATGAGAAAATTAATGTAATCCGCATGATTGTGTGAAGATGAGAAGACTCAGGCCTGAGGAGACTAAGTGTTTTGTTCAAAATCACCAGGCTGATAGTCACAGAAGAGGAGTCACTAGAACATCCAGTCAGCTTGCTCTTTCCATAGGCCTGTCTGGTTCCTTGAAAAACACTGATGTGATTTTAGCTAAAGACAATTATCCAGTTGATTGGTTAATTAAAAGATAAAAATGTGATCCATGGTGTGCATCAAACTGCATGTTTATCTAAAGAATTTTACCATGTAATTTCTTCAAGTAAAAGTATAGACTCAAGTATTATGAAGCAAAATCAGAGATAAATTGTAGATTTACAAATTTAAGCAAAAAGATATATTACCTGAAGAATTTCTGGGCGTCTTAAATGATAAAAACATTTCTTCAAACAATTCTTGAACCTTGTTTTCCAGTTTCAAACAGGATTTTATGAGCTGTGATAAGAACTGGAGTTCATCTAAGGAAAGAGAAAAGTTTCTTCCTTTCTGTGGGTCTTCAGGAATAACTGTGAAAAGAGAAGACCAATACTGCTGTACATTTTTTTTATTATCAATAAATATTAGAATGATCTGTGTGGTTCCATAAATCATCAAACAAACAAGATTCTCCATAATTAAAACAAGTGTATTGTTTCATTAAGAAACACATATAAAATCTCCTAGGAGAAACTTTTCTTCTGGTAAGTTGGAGATAGATATTTTTATTGATGTAACTATGACAAATAATTAGATTAATTCTCCAAGTTATGAATAGGCATACTGCTTGTAGTGAAAATTACAGTTTATATAATTCTATTTTTTTAAGGCTAGCATAGCTTGAATCTAATCAGGAGGAAATACCAGACAAACTCAAATTAAGGACATTCTGAAAAACAGATGGTTTATTCTTTTCTAAAGTGCCATTTCAGGAAAAAAAAAAAGACTAGGAAATATGGTAGTCTAAAGGAATCTAAAAAGATATGACAACATAAAGCACCTCATGATCAATATTTTATTTTATTATCAAGAACATTATTGGAATAATTTGGTGAAATCTGAGTAAAGTCTAATACAATGCTATTCCTGCATGGTTGTTAATTTCTTGCTTTAAATAAGTGTAGTGTAGATATGAAGGAGAATGCTCTTGTTTTTAGGAAATGCACATTGAAGTACATAGGAACAAATGTTGGACTGAGGAGTGCAGCTCAGTGGTAGAGTCCTTGCCCAGTCTGTGCAAGGACCTGGGTTCAATTGAATTGAGAGCAATCTACTCTCAATTCAGGACAGATAGTTTTGAGTATGGGAAGAGAAAGAAAGAGAGAGCGCAAGAGCGAGCGAGCGAGAGAGAGAGAGAGAGAGAGAGAGAGAGAGAAAGCTAGGCAGAGACAGAGACAGAGAGACAGAGAGAGCAAATGCAAATTGTGGTAAAAGATTAACATTTGCAAAATCTGCAACTTCTTTATATTACTCTGGCAGCTTTTTTGTAAGTTGAAATTAAAATAAAAATTTAAAAAGAAAAAAAGCAGATAACAGATATAACTCTTCAAAACAAAACCTTGTGTATGTTGTTAAAAAGTAACAAATTAATTTGGCATTTGGCTAGAAACTAAATAACTCATGAAATCCTGCCTCAAAATCAATAATAATTGTGATATTTATTGCCTGCTTGAGAACAACACAACTTAAAGATTGTTTTTCTTTCTTCTTGCAATTATGCTACTAGTCAAGCGACGACATGATTTTATTTTGATAGAAAACCTTACACTTTTTTTTTAAAGGTATGGAGACTGGTTTACTTATTAAATATGCTTAATTTCAGTTTGCTTTCACTTTATTTATCTATTTATTTTTTAATTTAATTTTTTTTTTCATTTATTCACATGTGCATACATTGTTTGGGTCATTTCTCCACCCTGCCCCCCTCCCCCACCCTGTTGCTTTCACTTTAGATTTACATCACCTAATGGGACTTTTGACAATGTTGTCAAGGATTTAAGGAATCTTCCTTTATTAATACTACTTCTTAAAACATGTACTTAAGGAGTGTCTTGAGGATTGACTAGAAATTGGAAAATTTATAAACATAAAATAAATATAAAGTATCTCTGGAGAAAAATTATTAAGAGTGCTATCCAGAAATTTTATATGGGTCTGGTTATTCTATGTGAACAAAACATTACTTTCATTGTGTGAATGTAGAAGGAAGTTTCCAGAAATGCAACAATTTTAGCAGCTAATCCACTTCAGTGAAATTTTAAGCTATTGGCATCAAATTCATTTTCTTGTAACATAGTCTTTCAATGAGGAACAAAAATGTCATGGTATCTTTGAGGATGCTAGCTGTGAGAAAGAGATCTACCAGCTTCAGTTGTGGAATTGAGTCCTGTTCTTAAAGAATTAAGAAAGCTTAGAAAAATATGCAGTTGTCTATAAAAACTGTTTTATCTCTACATTAACCTTAGTCCACATTCATTAAATCTCTAGTCTTATTTATACCTAGCATTCTTCTATAAGGATGTCAGGGAACATAAGTAATATTTTTTGCCAAAAAAGTTAGAGAGAGAGAGAGAGAGAGAGAGAGAGAGAGAGAGAGAGAGAAACATTAGAAATTATTCCTAGTTCTTTATGAGTCACGACTATGCAATTGCAATAGTTTGACTAGAAATGAAACATAATTAGGAAGCCTTTATCTGGCTTGATTCTAAGTTGGAAATATTGTAAATATTTATAGAAAAAGTAAAGCACTCCAAGAAAAATCTTTAACAGTCAAAACACTGTAGTTTCAGTGCTACTTGTTTAAAATTATGTAAGACTTGAAGTTTCTACATGAAGAGGCTTTACCTTCATGACCTGGAGTTAGAAGGATCTTGTATCCCAGACACATAACAATATTGAAAAGCAAATCCTTTTCAATTCAATGACTCCTTATAACTTATTAATGATAGAGGACAAAAATAATATGTATGACCTAAATCTAATCATTTTTGTCCCAAAGAAGCAATGATTATGGTAGAGTACCATTAATTAGTAGTCCTTATTTCCTATCACTATTAGCTCAGTGTTCTCCCATGGGGTGTTAGGGTTCTTAATTTATGGGAAAAATAATTCCATGATAAATTCATTTTGTGAGAGGCCAATTAAAGGAAAATTAAACACAAAGGATGGAATAGCATTTCCCAAACTTATTTGACTTGTTTTCCCCCCAGCATCTCACAGGACTAAGGTCCTAGTCATCACACCGCAGCTCATGATTCCTAGCTCCATTTTTCTGTCCCTTAGACTCTTCACTCCTAACCAAATTAAGAAAGGATTTCTCCCAGAAGAAACTCCCTTTATATTTTCCTCCATTAAGTTAATCTCTTTCCCTCTTATTTCAATATTATTTCTGTTTGTTTCTTGCCTCCAAGCCAGAAAACTTCATCTCTAGAAAACTTTATGGGGATTCAATCAACCTAGGAGCCCTCTTTTCCCATCTAAACTAGTGGGGCTTTTATTTCTTCATTCGTTGAATTATTTCTTCATTTAGTTATTTATTTAAATAATTATGGAACTGTCTTGCTTCTATGACATACATGTCTAGAGTCAGGCTGTAAAATATCTGAAGTAATGATTGTTGCTTTGTTTACGTGATGAGCTCTGATACTTGGGAAATATAAATTTCACCTAAGTCTCAATAGTATTATAATGGAAAAAATAAAATTTCCATTTTAGAGCAAGACTTTAATTTACTATCAACTAGCAATGAATGTAAATAATAACTAGATAGTTGAGGACTTTTTTCTTTTATATAACAAATAAAATTTTTTCTAAAATGCAATATGAAACCCTCTGCTTTCCTATTATTTAGGCTATTTAGAAAACAATTTACGTTTTTGTACATGACATGGTAATGATGAAAGTTACCCTGCACTTGCTTCTATGCTGCACTCAGCATAAAAGTTTTTTTCTTTGTTAAAGGGCATTTCTCAAATTGATAATCACTTGAAAAGGGTTACATGATCAAACAAATGGGGGAAATACCACATATTAATTGTTCCTTAAGGTTATTCATAATGCAAATTGGCATATCATTTACTTCTATAATAAAGCAAAAATCCAAAAACATATTCAAACTTTTTGACCAAGGAACACCAGTTTACCAACACATATAGTAATTTCTGAGATTTTTCACAAAAATAATTATTCAGAGAATACTGCTATGGATTGATCACTGTATGACTTGAGTATTTATATCTGCTTTGTAGTTTATGCTTCCATTGTTTGACGTTTTGCTGAGGGTTCTTGTTGCTGGTTGTGTGACTGATATTACCAGTATCCTCTCTCTTGTAAACTGGTGCTCCTTGCTGCTCCTGATACTACCATGGTATTTTTGCAGACCCCTATGAGAAGTTAATGAAACTCTCCTAAATCCTCCTAGACTTTCTTATTGATTAATTTCCATGCAGTCACAGGTTGAGGGCTAACTGAAAGCACCTAAAGTCCATCTATAGCTCTTAAAGGGCAGTAAGGTCCAGGATATCCTGTATCAGTAAAAAATGCAAATTCCTGGGTCGACTCTAGATCTAATGAATCAGCATCTCTATGCAACGAACCACAGAAATAATCCTCTTAAGCAAGTGTTCCATGCGAGTTTTCTGCACACTAGAGTTTCAGACTACCACCTGAGTGGTCCATGCACTCTAGTTAAAAATTCCTGTGTTGGACTGGGGACATAGTTCAGTGTATGACACTGGGTTCAATCCCTAGCACTGCAAAAAAAAAAAAAAGAAGAAGAAAAGAAAAGGAAAAAGAACCACCATTTGCTGAGCATAGTAGTACTCTCCTGTAATCTCAGCATGTGAAAGGTGGGAGGCAGGAAGATCATAAGTTCCAGGCCAGACTTGGCTACATAGTAAGACATTCTCTCAAAAACAAAACAAACTAACAAACAGAACTTGGTTGAAAACCATTTTCTAGGATTTTGATCTTAGAAAGTCAACTGAAAGGTGCTATTGTGTATAGCACCAATGACTTTAACAAGAAAGCCTTCCATTTTTCCCTAGTCAAAATTTATTACTTTTTCATTTCTGGAAGAAATATGGAATACCTGTAGGAAATCTGAAAAAGCATGTGCTATACGTTGAAAAAAAATCTAAAAGATAGTTGATGTTCTTTAGACACATTCATCACAAATGTAAAAGGATCGCCACGAGGCCAGAGATTATATTCAGTTTATTCATATAGTGTCTCAGAATCTAGCATAAGCTTGTACACAAAGTAGGCATCTAAACAGGTTTAAAAAAAATGAATGAAATCACAGAAGTCTTAGAAATAGCAAGTCTGGCCCAAAACAGAGTTTTTTTTTTTTTTATTCCTAACTCTAAAATGTATTCTTGAAAACAATAAATGTTAAGTTTGTAAATAAAGAAAAGTTATAGTATTCTATAAGCAGTCTGCATAGTCTTCTGCTTGACAAAATAGATTTGAAGGTTACTTCTAAAACAGAAAAGGAAGAGTGTTACATTTAAATCCTGACAGCCCCTGCCTC